CGTTTCTATTGAGTTGTTTAGCAGAAGTAACCCATGACAACAATATGTTGAGACGACTACGTAACAGAATAGGACGATTCAATGTTATTAAAATGACACAATGACAATTTTAATTTTATTACCAACCCTTTCACAATATTTGAATGAAATATCTCACACAGGGTGTTAATCTGTTTTCAGTTTCTATTCCAATTCAATAAAACATTTAATACATGTCTTGGCTTGATTCATTATTTACAATTTAATACGTTAATCGTGTATTTTAAATAATACAGTTCAAGAGATCAAAACATTTCCGAATTTATACATTCAACATTACACGTAGACCTAAATGTATTTTTCAAATACGTGTATAAACATTTATATGAAATATATTATAAACAGATATGCTATGACCAGCGTTGCCATTATTTTTATTATTCGACTGGAAAACTCCTGTCATTCACTCTGTCGTTCGACTGATCCATCATTCACGTTGTCATTTCCGAGTCTGAAATTTGGGGTATAGGGGTAGCTCATACCGGGGAGTAACATAGGCCAGGTGGCGTTAGTCTACCACTTCCGGTTTCGGAGTTATGACCCCCGAGCGAAGCCGGGCATTCTTCTAGTATATAAATAAATAAATCATCTTCATGGTCATCATCATCGTCATCGTCATCATCACTATTTAACACCAATCATCGTCGCCTGACAATTACCTTATCTATTCAAAGCGCTTGTTTAGTTTTAAATACTTGTGAACTTTACTAAAACTCACTTTGTTGAACGGGTTACTTTCGTTGGTATCGCCATATAGGAACGCTTTTGTATTTATGGATTTAAATGGGAGGGTATTTAATGTTGAGATACGCTGAGACGAATAATTTGGGCAGTGCAGAAAATAATGGTCGCTGTCTTCTTGAGTATGACCACAACTGCATGTCGGGTTATGTGAAATATGCATTAAAAATCTATGGAAGTTTAGAGCACTTTTACAATTACGAAGTCTGGAATGTATAATCTGAAATTTACGTTCTCCATAGTAACATCTTACTGACATCAATAAATACAAAAATATAAAATGGCTGATTTGTCAGATAAAAGTCATTTCACTCTTTGATATGATTTATAATATGTAATTTAAATGATTTTCAGTGTCACTAAACTTAAAATTAATCTAAATATAACGGGGTTCCAAAATCCAAGATGGCGGAAATTCAAAATGGCGGCCAGAATTTCCCTAAAATGGTCGATTTTTCGGATAATCGTCATTTTTAAGTTTGATATGGCGAGTGATATGCGATTTAAAGGGTTTTCTGTGTCACTCAACAACCTCAAAAGAAGAGTTTCCAAAATCCAAAATGGCGACCAGAATTTCCTAAAATGAACGATTTTTCAGATAATCGTCATTTTTTCGGTTTTGTATGGCTTGTAATAATGTCCTTTATTAGGTTTTCAAAGTCCACGAACTTGAAAATAACCTCAAAAATGAATTTTGAAAATGAATATTACCTCAAAAATGAATTTTGAAAATGAATATTACATCAAAAATGAATTTTGAAGATGGTAGATGATTGCTTAAAAATACAACAGGACAATCGTGAATTTTCCTATGGGATTGGCTTGTAATAGCAAAGAGTAGTAGTTATTTTGATGGTAACTGGAACTGTTATACTGGATCTCACATAAACAAGATTTAATATTATTCCAGCAAAACAGTGAGGTATATATATCCAGTTGTTAAGAATTTATCTATTGTTTATTCAGAAATGGTTCGAAATAGTGGTTCAGTGAGTAAGACTCGCTAAGAACGAGATCTGGGGTTCGATCCCTATGTTTGCTGAAAAAGTACCTTAGGATTTTCCAGTGTGGTTTCTCCTTGTCAGGATGCAGCACCGGGGGCTTCTCGAGAAACCAGGTTTATATGTACACGTTGACGTGCGCATACAAGAACCCTAGACAGTTGGAATTCGAAATAAGAGTACACCATAGTACCACTGTCTGGGCCAATTTTCCTCATAGCACACTGCTTGACGAATATCAATATTTATTAACTTTTGTTCAGAAGACTTATGTCCGGAAACCGTTTGTGGTATCATCTGGACAGATGAATTCATATTTGTCAGTCATGTATTTCATAAAGTGAAAAGTGTAAAATGAATCATCGAAGTCTCTGTGTCCGCAACTTGTGTGGTATGGTATCCACAGATCATATTCGTCTGTAATGTAATGCACACCAAGTTCTAAGTTAAAAATAATCATCACGAAAATAATTGGAAATGCATTTACGACTAGGTATCCCTAAAGTCATCCCCCACGATTTCCTCTTTTCTTATGTGTTGTTCTTACATGTAGAACTTGTTGTGAAATACGTAACTGACGAAAATGACCTGTGGATACAACATCTAGACTATACCACAAAAGTTACTGGACACGGAGTCTTCGATGCAAAAACGGACCACATTACCATTTCTGAACGAATAGGAGAACTTAAATTCTTAACGACTGGATATACCACAAATGATTCTCACTCCGGTAAAATGGTGCAAAGACAAAGGAGATGAAATTAAAAATGCGTCAGTTGGCCCCGTTGTATTGTTATGGGGGTTTTATGCATAAAAACAATTAAGCTACATTTATTGTGTCTTAAGGTTAAATTCTTTGAAATTCTAATTAGCTGACTGGTAAGTTCTGCACATGGTTTATTTATTGACAGGTAGATTCCTGGGTCAGGTCAAATTAAGTTGCCCTTAAAAAAGTATTACAATTTGCTATTATAAACCAATCCAAGAGAAAGATTGATGATTGTCCCTTTTTTTTCTGAAACAATCATCTTCAATTATCAAATTCAGAGAGAAAGAGAGAGAAATGGGGTTTAACGTCCACTCGGCACAAACTAGGTCATTTCGGGACTAACATATGGTTTAATTTTATTTACATAATTGGCTTGTGCGTAGGGGTCTTTAGCAGTGGGAGGAAACCAGAGGACCCGGAGAAAACCCACGAGGTTGGACAGGCGACCCTACTCCTTGCCACGTACAACCGGGGATTCAAAATCACGCCAGTCGACTCAATGACAGTCTTTATGATACAGCACGCGCATGCTAACCATTCAGCCATCCAACCCCCCTATCAAATTCAGTGACTCTGAAAACTTAATAGAGGACATATTACAAGCCATATCAAAACAGAAAATTGACGATTATCTTAAAAATTGATCAATTTAGAGAATATCTGGCCGCCATTTTTTTAATTTCCGCCATCTTGGATTTTGGAAACTCTATTTTAGATTGATTTTAAGTTCAATGACATTGAAAACCCTTTAAATTACGTGTTACAAACCATATCAAAGAGTGAAATGACTTTTATCTGACAAATCGGCCATTTTAGATAAATTTTGGTTGACATTTTGAATTTCCGCCATCTTGGATTTTGAAAACTCTTTTTTTCTTTAGATTAAGGTAGATTCCTGGGTCAGATCAAATTCAGTTGCCCTAAAAAAAACTATTACAATTTGCTATTATAAACCAATCCAATAGAAAGATTGGTGATTGTCCCTTTTTTTTCTGAAACAATCATCTACAATTATCAAATTCAGTGACTCTGAAAACTTAATAGAGGACATATTACAAGCCATATCAAACAGAAAATTGACGATTATCTTAAAAATTGACCAATTTAGAGAAAATCTGGCCGCCATTTTTTAATTTCCGCCATCTTGGATTTTGGAAACTCTATTTTAGATTGATTTTAAGTTCAATGACATTCAAAACCCTTTAAATTACGTATTACAAACCATATCAAAGAGTGAAATGACTTTTATGTGACAAATCGGCCATTTTAGATAAATTTTGGTCGACATTTTGAATTTCCGCCATCTTGGATTTTGAAAACTCTTTTTTTCTTTAGATTAATTTTAAGTTCAGTGACAGTGAAAACCCTTTAGATTACATATTACAAACCAAATCAAACTGTGAAATGACTTTAATCTGACAAATCGGCCATTTTAGCCGCCATTTTGAATTTCAGCCATCTTGGATTTTGGGAAACTAGTTTTAGAGATTATTTTTCAGTTCAATTACAACAAAAACCTTATATATGATATATTACAAGCCATACCTTGCATGAAAATCACCCATCCTATCTGGAAATTCATTTTACGTCAACTTTTGGCGGCCATTTTGGAAATCAGACAAACCCCAACCGAAAATGACGTCATAGATAAAAAAAATTCTAAAAATCGTGTTCAGCTAGCAATTTCGCCTCTGGAAATTGCTGGCCTGAAATGATTTGTAAAAAAAATGTCTTATTGTGACACCCCTACTGTTAATGAAGATTTTTCCCTATTTTTCATCAGTTGAAAATTCTGCTCTGAACTTCAAGGATTCAGAAAATATAACTCCCAAGTCTGTAAGTAAAATATCGCAAAAGCCTTAGGGATTTTTCATGGTGGCACTTCCAGTTCGATCAATAGACTTCATATTTTGTATACGCATCAATAATTTCTTAGCTAACACAGCATAAAGAATTTCAAGCAATCTGACATATCTTTTGTCGATTTTTTTCAAAAATTTGATCCTTAATTTCAAGGCAATCTGACATATATTTTGTCGATTTTTGTCAATTATTTGATCCTTAATTTCTCCAAGGGGTGATAAGTTATGATCTACTTACATTCCAAATTTCAAGAAAATCGTTCAGATTTTAAAGAAGTTTTCAAAGTTAGGGCTATGTAGGTCAATTTATATCATTCGAAAAATTCGGTGATTTCAAATTCATAAAAAGGTTTGACAATGGTTTTAATCCATAGCCACCACCCATTCTTTGGGGTCAAAGTTTCAGAAAGATCCCATGGTTAAATTCTGAGATATAAAATTTATGGGAAAATAACCAAAAAAAATAATAATCGTAACAGAAACAATATCATATGTAATATGAAAGCTTAATAATAATAATAACGAGGTTTTATATAGAGTCGTCTTCCTGTTGACACATGCTCAAAACGTTTTTAGTAATGACTCTACTGGTAAACCTGTTGAGACATGAATGTCTTTAGTGCGGACTTAAATTGATTAAAAGTCTGCTGATTCTTGATCTGTAGTGGAAGTTCGTTCCATAATATAGGACAAGCTGATCTGAAAGACCTATACCCATATGACTTTAAATTATATCTTGGAACAACTAGTGACTGTTTATTTTGAGAGTGAAGTGACCTAATAGGGTTGTAGTCATATAAGAGTTCAGATAAGTATTGAGGAGCTGCGTTATTGCGACATTTATACACTAATGTAAGTATTTTGTATTTGACTCGGGTCTCAGCATGTAACCAGTGTAAAGAAGCTAGCACATTCTGGATGTGATCAAACTTGTGTCCCTGTCACTATTCGGCCTGCCGTATTAAGAATTTTCTAGATCTTGGCTAGAAGTGCTTGTGGGATTCCAGAGAGTAAACTATTACAATAATCAATCCTTGATAAAATCAATGATCTCACAAGTTAGTCCGGGAGCCCAGTGAGATTTAATCGTAATATTGAGTCCAAAAGGTTTGAGGTCTACAACACATATTTTACCCCTAGATCATTTTGGAAAGCCAAGTCTTAAGTTTTGTAACCTGTGCATATACCTGGGAGCACTGTCCCTAACCCTCCCTTATTTAATGGGAGTTAAAATTCAATGTCCATCTACAATTTTTTTGCAAGCGTTTCACACTTAACACTAAGAAACAGAATGCATGACTTAAGAGCACACTATGTTGTGCTAATGCTACTTAAGAGCTTAATTAATTAGCACTAATTAGTGACCGTAATTAAAATTTAGAGTCCATAACTGAAACAAAGCCTAAAAGCTAGCTAACCAAGTCATGAAACCAAAAACATCACTTAAGAGCGACAAAAGTTGAACAAACCTTGCTTAAGACTCGTTCAAAGGTGACAAAGGTCACTAAAGAATGACCGTAATTAAAATTTAGAGTCCATAACTGAAACAAAGCCTAAAAGCTAGCTAACCAAGTCAGGAAACCAAAAATATCACTTAAGAGCGACAAAAGTTGAACAAACCTTGCTTAAGAGTGGTTCAAAGGTGTCAAAGGTCAAATTTTAGGTCACATAATGACGTTTGAATGGATTTGATTAAATTGTCTTGTCCGGGATTATTTTTCTTTCTAACACCATTTCTATGAGTTTCACTGCACAAAATGACTGCTTAAGAGCATGAAATGCTGTACTAATGCTACTTAAGAGCTAATTAATTAGCACTGATTTGTGACCATAATTAAAATTTAAAGTCCATAGCTGAAACAAAGCCTAAAAGCTAGCTAACCAAGTCAGGAAACCAACAATATCACTTAAGAGCGACAAAAGTTAAACAAACTTGGCGTAAGACTGGTGAAAAAGGTCATATTTTGGGCCACATTAAGACCAATTAAGCAATCAACCCATCAAATTGCTTATCTCTGCTAGCCCTAAATTGACGCGGAAAAACTATGTGACGAATCACTCATTCCTAGGAAATGAAATGCAAAAACTGTTAAGTTTCTCCATTTATTCGAAATATTGAGAATGGAAGTATAGAACTGGATAACTCTCTGGTTTTAAAAAAAAACCGCAGACAATTAAATTATGAATTAGTCCATATACGATTCGAAACATTTGTGTTCTCCTTTACATGGATATTTACGGGAAAAAAAGGTTATTTTCAGTCTATCAAGACCGGCTTGCTTATATTTACAAGATGTTTGTGCTAGATAAGATGTTAATTGCATCAAAACGTCCATTTAGGACAACATGTATACATTTAATAATACATATAACATAGAAAACACATACATGTACACACAACTAATACATTCATACATACATGCGATACTTTTGTTGGCTAATAGTCTTGTTTCATCTATTTTCATTCTATTATGGATAATCGCTCCTAAATATTTCCAATTCTAAATTAGATTTACTGTGGAGTGAGGCACGGATTTCGGAATGTGATGGTGTTTTAGGCGATTTCAACACCAGAGATGCTTCTTAAAGGAGGCATACAATCCCTGCGACCGACCCATGACAATTTTTAGATATCAAAAGTAGTTTAGAGCTGTGATTAATTACAATATTCGATTTGTGTATTCCATCAATGCTACTTCTATTTATATATATGCGAAGTGGATAATTATTTTGATATAATATTTGTATTGTCATCATTGTGTTCCATACATTTCTGTCTCCTCGTTAACTGTATGCTTTTTATCTTTTGTAATAATATTATATTGTTAACGATTGTAAATATGGATCTAGTACTGTCAAGCTTGATGTAGGCTATAGTAACCTGTGATTGTTTCCCCATAAAAACTGTGTTCTGTTAAATAAAAGGGTGTTGATAAGAAAATTTGTTCGCAAACTAATTGATAAGTCCACAATAAATAAATACTTTAATTTTAACAAGCACACACCTGAGACATTATCGACAATGCGAAAGTAATTTAAAGTCTAAAACAGAACAAAACAAGCCGTTCAATTTGAATTATTCGCGTATTTCACCAAACATAATAAACATGTATTATACATTAGCTAAATATGTCAGTTGCAGGTATTTCATTAGTTATATGTTGATCTATTAATTAGACATGTATTAACCTGACAAGACCATAATCAACCCTCAATAACATCTGATGGGCCTGATTTTACACAAATTTAAATCTGATCTGCTGTTCAACAATGCTTGGTGATTAACTGTAAAAATGGATAAGCGAGACTTGCCTATTATCGTTACAACATTAACAATGACAACTGAGTCTACAGTCTTATTGAAATGAGTTTTTTCTTGACTCAGAGTTCAGCAATTGTACTGAAATTTTCAGCATATTCTCTTGACATTATCTATTTTTAACCATTATAGCGCGAAGTGTCAGCTCTTTATCCAATCTTTCACAATAACACTTAGAATATACAATAAAACAAATTCAAAATTGGGCATATTACTTTATACTCATATTACATTAATAATATGTACTTTCCGACCCAATTTCGTCTCTTCAAAAGAATAGAGCTAATCACCCTTTTAACAGTTCACTCATTGAACTATGTCTGGAATTACTTCCGACCCAATTTCGTCTCTTCAAAAGAATAGAGCTAATCACCCTTTTAACAGTTCACTCATTGAACTATGTCTGGAATTACTTCTTTAAATCGAAAAATGCCTAAAAGGAAGTTTAGTCTCCTTCAATTTTAAAATTCCTTGTTGTACTGATAACTTTGCCATACTTTCAAGTGCATAATTATTGCTGACATCAACATTATTGTCATCCGCCTTTCGAAGAAAGCAGGGAACTATTAAAATGGGTCTGTTCGTCTGTCTGTTCATCAAGCCATTTTGGACACAATAACTCCTCTTCTAATTGAGGTAGAATTTTTAAACTTGGTGTAGGTGTTGATTATGTGAATGGCTTGATGGAGTTCAAAGATGCGCATTTTATGTTTAGGATCAGCAATTTGATTGGTCATAATGTGGCCCAAAATATGACCCCTGTCACCAGTCTTACGCCAAGTTTGTTTAACTTTTGTCGCTCTTAAGTGATATTGTTGGCTTCCTGACTTGGTTAGCTAGCTTTTAGGCTCTGTTTCAGCTATAGACTCTAAATTTTAATTATGGTCACAAATTAGTGCTAATTAATTAGCTCTTAAGTAGCATTAGTACAGCATTCCATGCTCTTAAGCAGTCATTTTGTGCAGTGAAACTCATAGAAATGGTGTTAGAAAGAAAAATAATCCCGGACAAGACAATTTAATCCAATCCACTCAAACGTCATTATGTGATCTAAAATTTGACCTTTGACACCTTTGAACCACTCTTAAGCAAGGTTTGTTCAACTTTTGTCGCTCTTAAGTGATAGTTTTGGTTTCCTGACTTGGTTAGCTAGCTTTTAGGCTTTGTTTCAGTTATGGACTCTAAATTTTAATTACGGTCATTCGTTAGTGACCTTTGTCCTTTGTCACCTTTAAACGAGTCTTAAGCAAGGTTTGTTCAACTTTTGTCGCTCTTAAGTGATATTTTTGGTTTCATGACTTGGTTAGCTAGCTTTTAGGCTTTGTTTCAGTTATGGACTCTAAATTTTAATTACGGTCACTAATTAGTGCTAATTAATTAAGCTCTAAAGTAGCATTAGCACAACATTGTATGCTGTTAAGTAATGCATTCTGTTTCTTAGTGTTAAGTGTGAAACACTTGCAAAAAATTGTAGATGGACATTGAATTTTAACTCCCATTAAATATGGGAGGGTTAGGGGGAGCGCACCCAGGTATATGCACAGGTTACAAAACTTAAGACTTGGCTTTCCAAAATGATCCAGGGGTAAACTCTGTGTTGTAGACCTCAAACCTTTTGGACTCAATATTTTGATTAAATCTCACTGGGCTCCCGGGTTAAGTAGTTTACAAGCGTCAGCAGTGAGATATTCTCTGATGTTGCATATACATCGTAGATGATATAGAGAATCTCCTACGAGTCTTTTTTTACTTTATCGACGAGTGTTGATATTTTTTGATATCAAAAAAGACGAGTAGGAGATTTTATTTATCACCCAATCCTTCCTTACATGCAAAAATAAATAAATATAATTCTTTGTTATAGATTTCACTTTTACTGAACCTGATTACATTACAGCATGGTGATACATCATTTTTCAACAGCAAGTTAACCATCAAGGTCAAGTAAATAAAAATATGTTCATTTTTAAACAAAAAAAAAAGAAGTTACTTTTAATAAAAAAAAATGAACTATTCTTTCAAAATAAAAAAAGAGTTTCTTTTTAACTGACCAATCAAATTCAGTAGATTATGAAATTTATCACACAAGCGATATCTTCTGTAGAATGTATTATTGGGTGATAAAGTAGCATGAGTTTCCATTGTCGGAAAGGGATCAAATCACAAAAAAATAACTAAGACGCCGTGCTTATAACAAAATGAAGTGCGACGGGGAAAGGGCATGTAAAAAAATATATATATATAATTGTTATCACAAATTTAGCTGTGGTTTTACTCACTATTTCTATTAACGTAAGTGCAGGTTGACCGCAAGACGCACAAACAAACCCGATAAGACAAACCTGGAACACAAACTACACAGACATTGCAAGAAATAAACAATAAATATCAAAGCTAATACCGTCTTCATAAGCCCTCTCGGAGCAGAAAAGTAAGACGTTTAATTATCTTTCTTGCAGTGTTGTCGATTGAAGTTGACGTCGACGAACACACTAAAGCAAAGATACGCTAAACAGTAAATCTTATACAAGAACCGATAGGAAAGCAAACATGGATAGATAAACCAGCACGCGGCAGTTTTCATCAACTCTTCCTTGAAGTGTCAAATTTGACAATGAACCCCTCCCACGTGTATGGCGCTATCTGTGAACATACTCTCAAAGCATGTCAAATATCCATGACTATTTATCATATCGCAACCTGCATAGGTATTTGCGTTTCAATATCCTCTACTTTTAATGTCCACTTCAGACAAACTAGCTCATTTCGGGACTAACATATGGTTCAGTTTTATTTCAATATTTCGCTTGGCGTAGGGATCTTAAGCAGTGGGAGGATCCGAAAAAAAAACAACACTAGGTTGGACAGGCGACCCTACTAAATGTTACGAAACAACGCCACTGGACTGAATGACAGATCGTATGATTTAAAACGCACTTGTTAAACCATTCGGCAACCCAACCTACCTAATATCAAACAGAAAGACATCGTCTTTAAATTCATATCCTGACTGACCCGACCAAATATAGAAAGCTCTTGGCGTAAATAATATGGATATCTATATCATGTCAATACACACGGGTCTAATTATATCATTCGATTTTATTAAGATGAAATTACTTGAAGTCGCGTATTTATCTCCTTCGACACCCGACTCCTGGTTAGGTCTAAATATGAAGGCCAACTTCAGATTTCTTCAAGGTCGCCAGATGTAAAAGGCGTTAGAGCACTTGATTGTCGACGAGATTGTGGATTAGGGTTAGAGTAAGGGCTGGGACTAAGTCTAGGGATAAGTGTAGGGGTAGCGCTCTCCCTGTTTACATCTCGTGACCTTTGACCAAATTTGCATTTGGTCTTAATATTTAGACCTACCCCCCCCCCCCCCCTACACAAACATACACCCCTCCACTTATATTAATTAGATCTTATGTTGGTTCCAGAATAAACTGTATTGCCTGAACATGAAAACCCATTAGTCGCTAACCTGGATGTCTCGTGTTGGCTAAAAAGTTCTTCGTGGTTTACCGGCGTTGTTCCGGTGCGCGAGTCGTGTAGGACATAAAGTCGTTCGGATGGGACGAAAACCTGGCGTGTACGTAAAGAACCCTTGACATTCTTCATTAGCCCAGTCCGTAGACAAAACTTGAACAGTACGTCAATTTACAACTACATGTACATCCCATTTTGGAAAGAGAAATTGGGTTTAACGTTCACTCAACACAAACCAGATCATTTCGGGACTAACATATGGGTCAATTCTATTTCAATAATACGCTTGCGCGTAGGAACTTTAGCAGTGGTAGGAATCCGGTGAACCCGGAGAAAACCCACGAGGCTGGACAGGCGACCCTACTCATTGTCACGTACATGTGGGAAATCGAAACCACGCCACTTAAATCCAGGACAGACCTTATGATTTAACGCGCACGTGTAAATCATTCACCCCCCTCCCCTTATTTGTTAATGGTTGTTAAAAGTACTGATCCTCTCTAAGTCAGCTTTTACATAATCTTCGAAATTGAAACACGAATTAGAATTCAATATTGGCCCAATTCAATCAGTATTATCTTACTGTGAAAATATGGATTCCTAATATCCAATATTTAAGACATAATCAACATCTCAGAATCAGTACTCGACGTCGTGTACTCTATAGACGTAATGGTTTCGAGCGACATTTGTAATGAACAAATAATCAAATCCCAGAAGACAATGCGGAGATAACCTAAAATGGATGATTCACAAACGACAAAATAATAATGAACAAATAAACATACAACTAAGCAGACGTAAACAACCACCTTTCAATTTTGACTGTTCGCGTACTTCACGATATTACAGTAAAAACTAAATAAAAAAAACTTTAAAAAGTAAATCACTTTATAACCATTCATATTACATTAATAATATGTGTTTTTAGGCCATTTTTCGTTTATTTTAAGTTTTAAATGAAGAGATCTTGTCACCTACGGCCACATCAATATTCAAGTACATTTATTGCGGACGTCAACGCCCCATCCTGAATTGAACATCAAATCAGTATAAATTTAGTGTAATCATGGACCTACCTTTAAAAATGGTTAATCCACGGGAGTCAATCACAATTCATTTAGAACGTATGCGGGACGCGTGCGTCGTCCGCTGGCCAGTATGTCGTCAGCTGTGAGATGTCGTCTGCTGTACGATGTAAAATGAAATGAAAGGAAAGGGGGTTTAACGTCCTACTGTTCTGCCCCGACTGGGATAATGAAGACTGCCTGCGATGTGTCGTCTGCTGTGCGATATGTCGTCTGCTATGCGATGAGTCGTCTGTAACGTCTCATGTCTTGAGATATTTACTAGAGATTAGAGAAAACCAACATTGGAACCAGTCAATAAATCAATACAAGACTCCCAAGACTTTCATTCATAGATTCTGTGCCAAGTTTAGACTCCGACTAATTATAGATCAAAAACCTACACTCTCTAGTTCTAATCGAGATATAATTTCCTCCGTGTTTTCTAATTCAGTTAATTTGCGATAAAAAATAGTCGAAGAAGTAATTTTGATGTCGCTCGGGTCTGTAAATATGTGCTAATGCATGCGAACACATCCTTAAATGACGTACTATATTTTCAGAAGATTAATTATCGTCCGTTTCGTTCAATTTTCTTTCCGAGAGTAATTTCGGTGTCCCCTAGTCTGTCTTGCCTATCAATAATATGCCATGCGGGGTCGAGTATTTTTGAAAATGTGTTGCCAGCCAACATCTCAAAATACCTCACGATAAAATGCCAGGCTTTATCCGTTGTAAAGATCCCCTTCCGATCATGTTCGCCGTATCGCATTCAATTATAAAACAGCTGTATTCGGGACAACCGAAACGTCATAGAGGAAGAAATTCATGCCGATCATTACAGCTCCGTTATTGCGTCAATGGCAGGTTGCCACTTGCTGCGTCTTGCATGTAATGAAAGTTTGTCACTAACTACGTCATTCATGTTGTTATGAAACATTGTCACTAGATGCGCCATTCATGTCTTAATGGAAGTATGACACTAGCTGTGTAGTTCATGTCGTAATGGAAGTATGACACTAGCTGCGTCGTTATGAAAGTTTTTGTAATATCAACACAATATTTCGCTATAATTGGGACTATACCATATGGTTATGATCACGTCTACAATGCTAACAAGGGGAATCTTGCACGGACAGCGGTGTTGTCGGTTATTCAGGGGTTCTTGCGCACCAATTAGTACACGAGCGGGACACTGATATTCATCACATTTGAATGACGTAGTCAACATTTTTTATGAACAGCAACAGCTATTCAATACATTATATCTCAACACCGTTTTTATGAACAGCAATTATGTAATCGGAATTAAAGTTGTATCGTTGTGTATATATATATATATATTATACTGTCCATCTTTATACAATGATATTATTTATGAATAGTCCCAAGTCGGACAAAAAGTACTTTAAAATATTCAAATGTTATTAAACCAGTGTTGAAATCAGTTTTTGTCGGCATACCTTTTATCTTTTCATCGTTTACCTTGAAACAAAGTGGTGCAGCTTTACTGTTGTGCTCATATTTCTATGCAATCGGAATTAAAGTTGTGTCGTTCTTTGTATATACAACTTTAATGCCGATTACATAATTGTATGCATTGCATCTTACAGACGAACTCTAAATCACTGAGGATTTATGGACTCGCGGAATGTCGCCTTGGAAAACCTGAGCGTATAAGTGTCCCCAACATGTGAACATTGTTGTTTAGAATCTTTTTGATGAAAGTTTTTAGTTTTATCACATCTAGGTACTTTATATAGTGTAATCTATTAGAAGACCTGTGTATGAAACTAGTACATAATGTTAAACGTGCAGAGAATCGACGAGTGAATGACACTATTAAAACTTGAAACGATCGATCAAAAACATCCTTAACTCATCGGCAGTTTAAACCAATGTATGGTATCTTTAACATCACACGTTTAGCTTAGATTTGTTTGGTTTTTCAATATAAAACATGCAGGAATGGGTGCAACCAGATTAACTCCTTTTTTAGAATGTGATTAACTTCAAACGGTAGGAAAGTGAGGTATCCGGGGGTTGACCTAATTGCACTCGAGGTAAATATGGGACATACCATTGTTCGGTGTTCCGATGTATGTGACGTATGTTGATCAATCGACCGAATGTTGCTTTTATCAGCCAATACAAACACCCGTTTCAAAATACCATACCGTCTTTATCAGCCATTGCAAACATGCCTTACATCTCAATCTATTGGAGTTGAAAAACAAATTATTTATTAAATGTCGCATAATGTTCGGTAGTTTTCAATTAGAAACATGGATTTCATCAGACTAGTTGAAATGGGGTTTAACGTCCTACTTATCTGCACCAACCGGGTTAATAAAGAGAGGTATACGCAAAGCAGTGTGCAGCAGTGGAAATTTGTCCGGAGAGCGCGGCTGGGTTGTGCTCTTGTTTCGAATTCCAACTGGCAATGTTTCTTTTACATCATGCGCCATTGCTTTAGCCAAGACCGAGATATAACCCGGGACATCGTGGCCATCATGATCCCTGGAGATCATCCTTGTTAGCGAGCCGGAACCACGGTGACTCGTTCAATTAAGATGCTGGCTCGCTGGTCCGTAGGTTCAGATTCGTCGCCGGCGTGCACGTACAACAACCCTTTACAATTGGCATTCGGTATAAGAGTAGGTCGTAGCGCCGCTGTCAGGGAAAGATTTCCATCATAGCACACTACTCATGACGTATACCCGTTTCCATTATTCCAGTCGGTGCAGAATAGAAGGGCTTTAAACCCCATTTCATTGATAGTGGTCCAGTAACGTACCAGTTACTGTGGTGGTAGGTACTTGAAATTGTCAAGGGGTTCGGGGACGTTAAAGGGGACTACAGATGACCTCGTATTAAATTTCAGCCGAATCGATAAAAAAAAACCTTTTCATTTTAGTTACTGGTGAGAGGTACGTTTTTGCTATCGTCGCCATTTTGTTTGTTGGCTACTTAGACTCGAATAACAAGACACCAAGACGAATTCCTACTCGAAGAGCTTCCTGTCTAACGTTGCAGTTCATAATAGTAATAATAATTTTCGTCAGGGTCAGTTATACCACGTTCGATGTTTGAAAGGAAGTGAGCGTAAGGCAGGGCGCTCAGTGTGTGGAAATTGGTTTTAGTGACTTGTTATTTGAGTCTAAATAGTCAAGAAGAAAAACGGCGACGATCGGAAAACCAGAAAATAAAAGGTCGGTAAAATGAAAAGTAGGGATACCTTAGTGAAATACTGGCATTTCATTTCACTTGTTAGCGAGCCAGCACTTTATTCACCGAGTCACATTGACTTCACAATATCACAAAGACGACACAAAATCAATACACCACGAGAGACAGTAAAATATAATTTAATATTGTTGACAACCCCTCTATAATAAAAATAATAATTAATAATATCAAATTGACAGTAAGAGGAAACCCGAGCTGTTTTAGATATTGTATAATAACATCTACACCTACACGTGTCTATCTCAAAACTATAAATAGTCAAGTTAATAGAATGATATTTACAATACATACTTGACATTTCTAAGTAAGAACTGGGAATCAACAGGGGACTGACATCCCGCCATCTTTAAATCGACTGGGGTGTTATTGTATCAGACAAATCTCACAAAAAGCTGACATTATCCCAAAATGTTTTTGTTTTTTTCTTTTTTTTTTAAAGACGTATTATGTTATATATTTAGATATATAACATGTCTTTCTCGCTATAGTAGTTCAAAAATAGATAATAAAAAATAACTTTATTCTCAACGAAGTTATGGGGTTTCAAGTTTTGACAAGATGTAGAGTTGCTACGATAATATAGTACTACTCCGCTCCGGTGTAATAATATTGCTAGAATTTTTGCTCTTGAAATAAGATGGTTTTATATTTCATTAATTAATATCTTTGGCAAGTTAGTAATTTCAAACATATTCACATATATAGTGTGTACTATGCATTATTATTCCTGGTAAGACAAACGTCTTAAGAAACTGGAAGACGTAAATACACAACGTAAAGCAGAAGTAAGGACAGCTAGAGACGAATTCTAGACGATCACAAGGCTACAGAAATATGTAGTAAGAAAAGATGCATGGGTCGTATGTAGGATGTGGCGACCAGTTTCCGACATATTCCCGCTCTCCACGTCAGACAGAAGACCCATGGTGCTACACCGGCTGAGCTAATGAAAACGGTCATATAAACAGTGTGCTATGAAGGAAATTTTGCCGGGACAGCGGCGCTATGGCGTATACTTATATCGGATTCCAACTGCCAAGGGATCTTTTACACGCACGCCAATGTGTACACGGGATCTCTATTTTTAGCCCCATCCGAACAACTATACGTTGTCCGTTGCTAGGCCCTTGGGTCCTGCATCACTGACAATCCCGATAAATTTTCTCGGTCAACGCAGAGATAGAAAACGGGACCTACGGGTTAGCGAGCCAACATCTTACTCACCGAGCAACCGTGGCTGTCCTACAAACCGTGATATTTAAAATTATGTCATTTCAAGACCGGATATCACTAAGCATCCCTAACTTGTCAGGGGTGGGGTGAGCATCACTAACTTGTCGAGTGGGGGGGGGCATCACTAAGTATGATATGGGAGAAGAAAGACAATATCTGTCTAACTATGATATGGAAAAGACTAACAGCAATATTGTATATTGATATATGTTCTGTTCGTCTGACAAGTATGTAAATTCAACGATCAGTGTGTGAAGGATTTGACAGTAATTGATGTTCAGTATTTTTTTGTCTGGCAACATGCTCAATATCTTATACAATATGCTACACCACCTTCAATATACTACACAGTATACTACACCACCTTCAATATGCTGCACAATATACTACACCACCTTCAATATACTATACCACATTCAATATGCTACACAATATACTACACCACCTTCAATATACTATACCACATTCAATATGCTACACAATATACTACACCACCGTCAATATACTACACCACCTTCAATATACTATACCACATTCAATATGCTACACAATATACTACACCACCTTCAATATACTACACCACCTTCAATATGCTACACAATTTACTACACCACCTTCAATATACTATACCACAATATACTACACCACCTTCACTATACTACACCACCTTCAATATACTACACCACCTTCAATATGCTACACAATTTACTACACCACTTTCAATATACTACACCACCTTCAATATGCTACACAATATATTACATCAACTTCAATATACTACACCGCCTTCAATATGCCAGCCAACCTCGTGGGTTTTCTCCGGGTCCACCGGTTTCCTCCCACTGCTAAAGACCCCTACGCGCAAGCGAATTAATGAAATAAAATTAACCATATGTTAGTCCCGAAATGACCTAGTTTGTGTTGAGTGGACGTTAAACCCCATTTCTCTCTCTCTCTCTCAATATGCCAGTCTAGTCGATCGGGTGGGATAAAAAATATCGATGCTCGGTGTACACGTAAATAAGTCATGTCAATTGGCATTGAAACGCAAACTGTCCTGCCAACATTTCCCTCAAAGCAACCTGGAAGATGTATGTAGTTCGTTGTGGCTACCCTTTGGCAGTTGGGGTATCCTGAAAGACGTATGTAGTTCGTTGTGACGACCCCTTGGCAGATGGGGTAGTCTGGAAGATGTATGTAGTTCGTTGTGCCGACCTCTTGACAGATGGAAGTCGATGAAGCACAGGCGAAAACGCCATTGTCCTGATACGATATCCCTTAAAGCAAGGGCAGGCCAAAAATGAAAGGAAATGGATTTTAGCGTCTTACTCTTCTGCTCCAACTGGGCTAATAATGAAGACGGGTATACGCAACACAGTGTGCTAAGAAGGAAATTTTGCCAGGACAGTGGCGCTAGGAATTCCAACTGCCAAAGGATTTTTTACGTACAGGTCAATGTATACAAGGGAACTCGGGTTTTCGTCACATCCGAAAGGCTAGATAGCTGTCCTTGTCAGGTTCTCCGTCCTGCACCACTGAAAAGGGGAACCCACACCGGAAAATCCCGACCTGCAGACTAGCGAACCAGCGTCTTACTCACTTAGGCATCATCCCCCCCCCCCAATGGTTAGTGCACACAACTAGGACATTAAATCTTATTTTATTTCATTTCATTCTGGGCTGCTGGTGATATCAATGTCCGTCCTTCTTTCGTTATATTAGGCCCAAGTTCATGACATTGGCCACGTTAAATGGTTATGGCGATCCCTTGTCTTACAACATAAGACATGATCTCTGGCTTTATCTTATCTTAAAACTAGAATCAGTAAATAGATAAAAAAAAAAAGGTGTTCACTTTATAAACGACACTGGCTATTGTTACAGATCACGACACCATGTTACCAATTATTTTCTTACTTGTGGCATTTTCAGGTAAATTTATCAATGTATTTTCTCGTCAACATTTCCCCCAATAAAAATCCCATGCTTTTATATATTTTGAATAAGAATATAAGAAGGCACACTATCGGCAGCTGATGTGATGTGGTTATGGACGTCGGGAGCCGCGGTGGATCAGTAAGTAAGACGTTGACTCGCTAACCTGGAGGTTACGAAATCGATCCCTGCGTTGGTCGAGAAAGTTCATCAGATTTTCCGGCGTGGTCCCCCCTTGTCAGTGGTGCAGGAAACAGGGCCTGGTAAGGGACAACGAAAAATAAGGTCTAATGTACACATTGGCGTGCACGTTAAAGAAACCTTGCCAGTTGAAATTCCATCTAAGAGTAGGTCGTAGTGCCGTTTCCCGGCCAAACTTTCCTTCACAGCACACTAAATGGCGTATGCTCGTCTTCATTAGCCCAGTCGGAGCAGGACAGTAGTACGTTAAATCCCTATTTCATTTCATTTATTGTCATCAAATATAAAGAACTTTATATATAATATGTTTTCTTTATTTCAATTAATAGCTGCCAATTGTCAGATTAGTAGTCGTCTCGATTCGCACTTTTGTAGAAGATTATTAGAAAGAGATTGTACTTCGTTTCCTAAAGTCCCTGAATGTGGTACAGATGGTGTTACCTACATTAACCAGTAAGTTTTCTTTAACATGTGGTATCTCTTCTACATCCAGACCTCCTCGTCATGGAATGTGGTACGGTGGGTGTAACATTAACCAGTCAGTTATCTTTAACATCTCTTTAGTATCTCTTCTTCTACATCCAGACCTCCTCGTCATGGAATGATGTTACCTACATTACTTAGGAATTAAACGAATAATTATCAGTACTTGACGGCTGTGGCTATTTACCACATCTCATAAGCAAGAATTTTAAAATAGCCTTCGACTTGCAGGCCGTAATTATCATTCGCTATTAGTTACTCCCGGTTTGTTGTTTTGGAGATCTGGGGATCTGGGGTTACTACACATTTTATGTAACTACAGAACGTGAGAGAGAGAGAGAGAGAGAGAGAGAGAGAGAGAAATGGAGTATAAAGTCCACTCGACACAAACTAGGTCATTTCGGGACAAACATATGTTTTTTAATTTATTTCAATAATTCGCTTGCGCGTAGGGGTCTTTAACAGTGGGGGGAAACCGGAGGACCCGAAGAAAACCCACGAAGTTGGACAGGCGACACTACTCCTTGTCACGTACAACCGGGGATTCGAAACCACGCCAGTTGACTCAATGACAGTCAATGACACAGCACACACGTGCTAACCATTCGACCATCCTACCCCCCCAACCCAATTTCAAAGAATATGATAACATTAATATCTCAGAGTAGGCAAATTTGACACCTCGTATTGCCAAACATCCAGACCCTTTCGTGGATCTGTTTCAGTACCTCCACAGAGTTCGCATTTTTTTTCTGTAGCTTAGGTCGGTAAATAAATCTCAGAAAATTTGCTTACAGCCTGATATTTACAATTCAAATGGAAAGGGTTTTTTAAAACAAAATTGATGGGTGTCGTGTTCTCGGGGATTTGGCCGACTGCAAACGTTCGCTACGCCAAACGATCTCTCCGTCCTTCCTTACTAATCGTTGAACTCACTACTTGCAAGACGAATAACAGAAATATAATTACTTTCCCTTTAGCATGAACATTTATACATCATTTAATCTGAACATTATAAAATTCTCGGGTAATTAAACAGACGCTGTATCCCACCTGGGCCCACCATCGGTATATTCCCCATACCCTGCTCATGCTGAAATACCTGAAAAGGTCCCAGCTAATATGAATTTGTTTTTACACAGATGTGACTATACTCAAGCCAGATGCAAGGGTATCCATACAGATATAGCCCATAAAGGTAGCTGTACACCAACCAGTACTAATCAGACAATGCCTGGTTTTAATGGTGATCAAGCAGCTTTAGATTATCTCTGTATTCAACTTTCTCACGAGGAATGTCCCACAACAATTGATGAAGTGTGTGCCACAGATGGCGTCACTTATCAAAACATGTAAGTAGTATTTAAATATGTTCAACCAATCATTATGGTCCTTGACGTCACCTTAGCCATCTTAGAATTATGACATCATATCAATCCTTCAACAGACGCGCAAGAGGCCAATGAACTAACATCTCGCGTTTCGTATCTATCGTATTTGAATTGTTGGAGCAGCACGAATAGAAGAACATTTAAACGTATGAACAGTTCCTACTGTAACATATGTTTCCTGTTGGTCAACTTAAAGTCAGAGATTGTCATTTGCATTTGTTCGAAAATATCAAATTTCCACGGCTTAGTCCACTCTGAAATATATTCAATTTGATTATGGAAACAAAATATCAACAACAGGTTATCTCCCGGCTTGGATTCCATCGGATTAAAAATAAATACCCATCTAAATATTCTATCACATGCGTACTGGAGCCCAAATGTTGATCAATTCTCAATTCATCATTTGTAAATAATGAAATTATTTCTGACTAATATTCCATACACTGATTCCACTTTCTCAATATTATAAGTTTTCAAAGAATTTTAAAGGAGCTAATTCTCTATTCATTGGCACCTGGAAATGGGCACAAATGGATCGCAACGCATATAACAATGTAATATGAATGTACATAAACCGATTTACATTCAATCGTTTTTGTTTTGTTCGGCGAAATTGAATGAAAGTCTACACCGGTAGTATTCTCCCATGGGATATGTTTAGTCTCGTTCACCGAGTCGCTTCATTACAAATAGCGCACGAAAGCATTCTGGCACGCGATTCATGTCCCAATGTTAAAATCTTCATTTTGTCTTAAATATTGGATATTCTGATTTAAATTGACCAATAAGTTGTGTTTGCAATGTCGAAGACTGTGAATAATATTGCCTCCTTTAAATTATCCGACTTGTAAATAAGTTATGCATATATGGTTTGCACGTATGGTTAGCACGTGCGTGCCGTATCATAAAGCCTGTCATTGAGTCAACTGGAGTGGTTTCGAGTCCCCGGTTGTACGTGACAAGGAGTAGGGTCGCCTGTCCACCCTCGTGGGTTTTCTCCAGGTCCTCTGGTTTCCTCCCACTGCTAAAGACCCCTACGCGCAAGCGAATTATTGAAATAAAATTAAACCATATGTTAGTCCCGAAATTACCTAGTTTGTGTCCAGTTGACGTTAAACCCATTTATCTCTCTCTCTCTCTCTCTCTCTCTCTCTCTCTCTCTCTCTCTTTCCAGTGGTACGTGCGATACTCGTTAACGCAGGTTGGAAATAGGATAGCAACTAAGAAAGTTTTACCGACTTCGTTTCCTTTATACAAGGCACAACCGTGCTATTTGGGGTACTTGTATGCGATATCACCTCGGTGGAAGCGGACGTAAAATACAACTAACACACACATATTTGGGGTAAAGTGCCCAATGGTGCTGCCGCGGACCATTCACAGAATCATTCCAAAGGCTTTGCTCCTGGGTACAAGTAGTATTAGGTAATCCCTAATCACGAGACTAGACGTTATCAAGCCACGAACCTTCGCTTCACAAACAGCCACTTCCAAACCGTTGAAGTAGGTTTGTACGACCATCGTTACCCCTCTGGCAGCTCGCTTATGGATCCCACCCATTGGGTGTCGTCTGAATACAATGGGATAGCATATCTTACTTTTTTACCACGGCTGATGTAAGAAGGGAGAATACTGATACTATTTGAATTGTATAGTTTAGCAATAAGCTACCAAGACTTGTCAAGAGCATTACAATTGATTATTTATTTAATTAATAAATTTTAGAAACAGAAATCAAAATGTTGCATTTTAATTTTTACAGGTGTGAATATGAAAAACAAAAATGCACGCACAGAAGTTTACACGTGGAAACAAAAGGTGTCTGTTCAGCAAGTTAACTTATGATAAATATTGACCATTATAATGAAATATATTAACATTGACATTGGCAATAAAATGTAATAATATTGACTATTGTAATACAATATATTATTATTGACTTTTGCAATAAATTATAATATTGTTCAGAAATTTATCTTTTCCTAAACATTGACTATTACAATAAAAAATGTAAAAATATTACAAGTTATATTTGCTGTCTTTCGTTCCGTCAGAACGACTATCTATGCACCAGGAATCGAGTGTGATGTCATCGCAGCCATCTTCCAATCGTGTCATGATATCAAAAATCGAAATCCTCTAATCGACGCAGTTTTGTCCAAGGAACAAGCATGTCAAGTTTCACGTCGATCGTATAAGACTTGGTGGAGGATTGGACTTTTTCTGAGGGCGCCCCCCACCCACCTCAACAGACAAGAACAAGATGAATAGAGCATAGGGACCAGTTCCTGGTGTAAAGAAAGAGAAAAATCAAGGTTTTATACAAATATTTGAGTATCATCTACAAGACAATGGAAAAGCGTGAAACAGCATGATAAATCAATTCTCGGTTACGTAACTGGTCAGATTTTGCGCGATTGTCATGCATAGGGAACAAAACCAAACCCGATACCGAGTCAAGCCGCTACAGTGGAAAATTGCGCGGAAATTTATTTACTATATATCTCTGCTTGTTATTGCACCAAATAATTCATTTAATGTCACCGCCACCACTTCAAACGGCGTATTCTTATATCGAATTCAAGCTGCCAAGGGATCTTTTACGCGCACGCCAATGTGTACCTCTATTTTTCGTCCCATCCGAACAACTATACGTTGTCCGTTGCTAGGCCCTCGATCCTGCACCACTGACAATCCCGATAAATTTTCTCGGTCAACGCAGGGATAGAAAATGTGACCTACGGGTTAGCGAGCCAATATCTTACTCACCGAGCAACCGTGGCTGTCCTACAAACCATGATATTTAAAATTATGTCATTTCAAGACCGGATATCACTAAGCATCACTATTTTGTCAGGGGTGGGGTGAGTATCACTAACTTGTCAGAGTTGGGGTGAGCATCACTAACTTGTCAGGGGTGGGGTGAGCATCACTAAGTTTGATATGGGGGGTAGTGGGGGCCGTGCATAGGTATTTATGTTTTTTTTCATTTCATATTGATGCAAAAGTTTCGTTTTCAGGACCAATTTGAAGAGGGATAACTCGTGTTTTCCTTTTGCGTTCGTCACTTCCGATTGTTGAAAACTGTATTACGCATCTATCGTAGCATTGTGTTAAAATTATATTTGGAATGTGTTGAACCAGTTCTATCACATATGTGATAATGCTGACACCAATATTGTCCTTTAAGCGTAAATCCTACCTGACACGGGTACAAATCCCCTCATTTTAAATATAAGCGATAATAGATTGCTTTCTCCGATATTTTAAATTAGATGTCTTTAACACATAAAGGCGGGGCCGCGTGTACAATAGCCAATCAAAGTAATAATAACCTGATTCGGGTTGCGCAGAAGTAATACACCGTAATTATGAATGTCAGTATCAATTTTCAGTAGATTGGGCTGTAGATGTGTAATAACTCCTAATAGTATTAAATTAACTTATTTTTAAGATGTTACAATGATAAAGAAATTAAGTTTGCCAGGTGAAACTAAATTCCCCCCTCCCACCTCCACCACCCAATCGTAGCTAAAAACAAGTATGTCAGTGGCTAGTTGGCCAGCAATTAAAATCATCCTTGACACATTTGAAATACAATGACGAGTAGACAGACGGGCATGTCGTTCTTCATTAACCCGGTTGGTGCAGAAAAGTAGGACGTTCAACATCATTTAATTCCATTACTTATCGCTCCTTAGGCCCCGAAACGATATGTAGACTTTTAACAGCTTGTTGCTTCGCCTTTATCGTGAACTCGCATTAAAAAAAAACACGCAACTCACTCCACCACCCTTCTGCCCAGTTGCTTAAAGCAAACTCGGCTCAACTCTATTTTTCATCGCCAACATTTGACAAGTCTGACTCAGAATTATAATGAAATACATTTATATTTTCTATCTGGGTAAAACCAGAAGATCTGACAACCCATTTTGTCTTGAAATAAATCTAACACGGTTTATAATTTGCGTATTATTTTATTAACGTATCATTCATTTTATACGTATGCTTATTTCTTGCCTAGAAGTCCACTAGTTAGTCCACCAGTTAGTCCACCAGTTAGTCCCCCGGTAAGTCCACCTGTTATTCCACCAACACCACCCAGCATGCCACCTGAAATATATTAAATGTATATTATTATATAAATAGTCAGATTGTTAAACTTGCTGGACAACTGACTAGATATCAATTAATTGTAACCTGTCTCCTTATTGATGTGACGTAGTAAGGCAATTAAACTTTCTGGAATGATCTACTTATTATCATGTACATGTACAGAGAAGTTAGGGCCAACTATGCAAGTTCAGTAGAAAGGCTGAAGTCACCGGTTTGCCCATTTAGTTGAAATTAAAGTTATGGTCAATTGTGCAAGTTAAGTAGAAAGGCGTCGCTAAAAAGAAAAAAAATTAAGCGAACATACGTCACCGTGTTTCAATGATGTAAAACTTGTACATTTCTAATAGGTAACATTTACTTAAATTTGATCAAAATTGATTCTTGGCATAGTTGGTAATTGTTTAATACTCTTTATGATTTTTTTATAGGTATCAATTTGATATTATTATTATATATTTTATGTTTTAGTATATTTTTATAATTCCATTTCCCTGATGGAAAGTACTCAATGGTTACTTTATATAATTTAAGAGGCAAATCAATACAAAGACTTTTAATTTTATGTGCAAAACATAGCCATTCTAGAACAGGGGACTACAAAAGTGGGTTTCGTACAAAAAATGCTCAAAGTTAGGACCAATTGTGCAAGTTAAGTAGAAAGGCTTAAGTCCCTGGGTTACCATATAGTTGAGATTAAAGCTGATAGACATTCTAAATTTACTTATATTCTTCTATGCAACGGGAAAAGTAAAACTATGAGGGAATATCTCTA